GGAATGTGTGGAATCATGCTCCTCGGACTTGAGGATTTCTATGAAACACCTGAATACATCTTTAATATACAGAATCCTGTGCCTCACCCCCCACCCCAAGCCCCAAGTCCTGTCCAGTAGATCTGGGTTGGGGCTCAGGAATCTGTATTTCAACCAGTGATTCTGATGCAGGGGATCCACCCTCCATCCAGGAGAAACACTGAGACTGGAAAAGACCCACGAGAGGCAGCCCTCTCTTGTACAAGTGGGGAAACTGAGGCCTACGGAGGAGAAGGGACTTTGCTGAAGTTGCGAAGCATGTGGAGAGCAGTTCCACTGGCTTACGTTCCTCAGCCTAATGGCTGGATAAAAGCTATCTTCCCTCCCAATTCCTAACTCCCCTTCCTTCACTCTGTTTTTTCTTTCTTTTTTCCCCCATAGCCTGTATCTCTTTCCAGCATAAGAGTAATTTACTAACTTCCTGTGTTTACTTTTACTTGTCTGTCTTGCCCCACTAAAATGTAAAGTTCACAGGGCAGTAATTTTCATATTTTTTATTGTTGTGTTGTTTTTGTTTTTTTCATGAAGTACCCATGTACCTTGAGCAGCACCTGATCCATAGTAAACCAAACCAAAACAAAAAAACCATAGTAGGTGTTCAGTAGTTATTTGACAGTTGATAGGTAAAGGGTATGGGTTTTCTTTTTGAGATCATAAAACCATTCTAAAATTGACTAATGGCAGTCTGACATACCTGTGAATATACTAAAATGGTTGAATTGTACACTTTAAATGGGTGGGTTTTATGGGGTATGAGTTGTATCTCAATAAAGCTGTTAAATATTTGGTAGATGGATAGATGAGTGAAAAGTATTTTGTTGAAATTTATTAACTGTAAATAAGGGGCATTGTGGGAAAGTGCCAGCCCTTAGGCATTACTGGCGGGAACAGAATAGAACTATTTTCTTTTTCTCTTATCTGATGCTGCTAGCTTGGATCAGGGCTTACAGGAACAGCTTGTTTGTTGAAGATTATAATTAAAGACCTTCCAAAGATATATTAACAATAACAATAATATTAATAATAGCAACAATGATAACAACAATAGCTACCATTTATGGAATGCTTATTATCTGCCAAACACATACTGTGAAGTTCTGGGTTGAGAACTTCCTACCCATAATCTCATCTAATCCTTATTACAACCCAAGGATGAAGGACCTAGTACGGTCTGTTTTCTAGATGAGGACACTTAGGTTCAAGAGTGAAGTTACCTGCCCAGCTTGCACAGCAAGTCTAGATCAAGGATTTGTGATCCCAAACATTAAATTCTTGGTCTCCAGTGACATTCATTATTAAGTTTGGGGTGTTCTGTCTTTGGAGAAGGAATTGAAAAAGCTAAAGACTAGGAAAGCATCACTTGTTGGGATGTCAAATGGGCCAAGAACACCAACCTCCATAGTGGTATAAGACCACAGGTTGGAAAGAAAGGCGTGTTTTTTGCAGCTCAACTTTCCAGCATTTCCCCACACTCTCGAGTCTTTCCATTCTCACATTACAAAGAACCTTTCATCTTGAGCTGTGGGTCTTTTCTCACTTCTCAGGCAACCTCTCAGGAGCAAGCCAAGAAAAATTCTAGTGGTGACAGGTCACTAAACCATTTCTTGAGAGGCCACTGTAAGCACTTCACACTCACTCACATCCCACCCTCCCTAAAGGGAAGGTTGGACAGAAAGAGGCTCCTTCTCCCACCTTTCTGTACCCACGTCCCTGTTGAGGCCTCAGGAAGGGGCTAAGGAAGATGATGGGTTTTTTTTATACATTTGGACATAGCAGATCCCTTGTAAGACTTGAGTTAGCCTTTGAGTTCTAGAAACACTGTACCTATTACACTGGTGGTGAGCTCACAAAATGGTGTCACCACCTGCTGTGAATAATGTTGGCCTTCATTCCTACCCCGCACCCCACCTGCCGGTCAGTGAACACTCCATACATCCAGTGATGAAGCCTCCTGTCCAACAGCCGCAGACCCAGGTCAAGCACAGGCGCATTCCTGGGCTTCACAGTGCACCAGGCACTGGGCCAAGAACTTTATGGCCGTGATCTCATTAATTCTTACAATAACCGTGGTGAGGCATTGCTCTCCGCTTCTGTAGATGAGGAAGGCCTGGAGACACTGGTAACGGGTCGGACTCATCGCATTTTCGAGAGCAGAGCCAGGGTTTAAACAGGCTGTGCTTTGCTCCTCTGCTGTACTGCAGTACTGCTTAAGAGGTGGAACTCTGGAGCCACGGTGCCTGGATTTGAACCTAGACTGTGCCGCTTACAAGCCATGAGACCTGCGGCAAGTTAGCTGCCACCGTTGTCTTTGGCTGCTTCATCTGTAACATGTGGATGATAATGTACTGAAACCATAGGTTTGTTGGGAGTATTAAATAAATCAATGTATGCAAAGCACTTAGTGTCTGGCTCATAGAAGATACTACTCAAATGCTAGCTGTCATTATTAATTTATGTATCAAGCCCTGTTTTTTCTCTGGATGATGGAAACTTAAATCTCAGAAGTTCTAGGGTTTCTCCTACCACCCCCTCCCCTAAGGGTTGCATCTATTTTCCCAAGAGGCTTACCTAGATAATTCATAAGTACTTAGAGTGGTGCCTGGCATATAACTAAAAACAATCCACTTGCTATTGAGCTGATTCTGACTCCTAGTGACCGTAAAGGACAGAATTGCCCCATAGGGTTTCCAAATCTCTTTAGCAGCAGACTGCCACATCTTTCTCCCACGGAGTTGCTGGTGGGTTCAAACCGCAGACCTTTAGATTAGCAGCTGAGTGTTTTATCCACTGAGCCACAGCCCCCGATAAATGCTGGTGATGAGTCATATTGCGGTGAAAGGCAGGGGCAGTGTGGGATCCGAGGCACAGCTCGGGATAGCATGCGATCCGTCCTCGATCAGCATCCATCCACCTTAGTGCTGCCTCCAGAGAGAGAGAGCCACTGCCCGGGTGCTCATCTCGTGGGTAGGACAAGAACCAGAACGAAACTACCGTTTGTACACTGTGCCTGTTATTTTTATGCCCTAACAGTGTTTCCGTATTTATTTAATGTAAAAGACAAGGGAAGTAAAATTGATTATCACTGAGTTCCTGGTTCCCCTTCTGTCCGTCAGTTTGTCCTGCTCTGCAATGCGTGTTGCTGGAACCTATGCCAGCAGCATTTCAAATACCAGCTGGGTCAGCCCTGGGGCACAGGTTTCAGCAGAGCTTCCAGACAAGGAGAAAGGTTCGGCAGTCCACTTCTGAAAATCAGCCAGTGAAACTGCGGGGATCACAGCAGAATGTTGTCCAGCATAGGGCTGGAAGATGAGCCCCTGGGTTGGAAGACATGAAAAGAAACAGCAGCCACAGCAGTGGCCTCCACCAGAGCAGCAGTCATGAGCATGGTGCAGGACCCGGCAACGTTATGTTCTGCTGTCGGGGTCGGTATGAGTTGGAGCTGACCCAACAGCATCTAACATGTTCCTGGTCAGGATATAACGAGTCAGAGGGATTAGCACTTAGAACTTTATTCAGGGATAAATCATCTCAAAAAAGCTTAGCTTGGTAATGTCATTCTTTTGTATGGCTTGTCACTTACCAACTCCCCCCACTCCGCCTGGGTCTGACCATACTGTATTAGTCTTTTGGCTCCCTTCCCCCTGGTTCTGAGACGGCTACTCCCACTGATCTAGGCTTTATGATGACACTGCTTTCCACTTCTCTTCTAGCTTAAGAGTTGGACAGTGGAAGACCTTCAGAAGAGGCTCTTGGCCCTTGACCCCATGATGGAACAGGAGATCGAGGAGATCCGGCAGAAGTACCAGTCCAAGCGGCAGCCGATCCTGGATGCCATTGAGGCTAAGAAGCGGCGGCAACAGAACTTCTGAGCACGGCCAGGCCCGAGGGCCCTGTCTGCACACCCGGCCTTCCATGAATGTTGGGCTTGCTGGCCGTTCACGTTGTCAGCCAGCAGTTCTGCTCTGTTATTTCTCCACGGCACCTTTGTGAACTCAGGAATGTGCGCCAGAGAGAAGGGCTACCTTGACAGTGTGCCATCTTGATACATGTATTTAATTGGGTCGGGTATGTTATTTCAAAGGATTTCTGTTGGCGCTTTTAAACTCAGAGTTTTAAACCCCAAGCACAGAGAGACTCCTAGTTGAGTGACAGCTGGGAAAATTTTACATCGTCTTTTGTTTTTCCTCTCTCAATAGCTTTCAATTGTTCTTTCTGGAAGACTTTTTTAAAATATATAAATGTACGTATATATATAAATTATAAATAGATTCGCCACTCAGTGTGGTGGCATCTCTGTACAGGTACAGTTTTAAACAGTTTGCTTCTCTTCTGTAGATTACGGTACTGTGGAACATGAGGACAGAGAACACTGGGACACAGGGATCCCAGGAGCTGTCCTCCCCTTTGCAGGACTGCATTTAAAAATCAAGTGTGAGCCAGTTCTTTTGCCCTGGTTTCGGCCTTGTGTGGGTGACCCCTGGTTTCTGGAGCCACTGGTGACGGCCACGAGAAAGCCCTGACTGTGTGTGTTTCCTCTCGGAGTTCCTGGCACCCTTTTTGTAGATCAGCCATTACCACGTCCACACCTTTCCTCCACCTCCATTCTCCCAACTGCCTAAGTCACAACCCAGATCCTGCTCAGTGCCTTAAGAGGAGATGCAATCCAGTGAGGGGACAGGCCTGCCAGGAACTCTCAGCAGACTCAGGGCCGTGTCTGCAAAAGGAAGGGGGTTTCCGAAGCTCTTGTTTGTACAGAGATCCCGCACTTGGCCTCTTGCTCTGCATCCTTACAGGGAGGGGTAGAGGGCATTCGTTGCTTTTGTGATCCATATTCAAATACACGGCTGTTTTCTTTTTCTTTTTCATTTTACTGCTAAGGAGTCTGCAGAGTATAGCTGAAAGTCAGACTTCTCCAGGAGGACCAGTCTAGCCATGCAGAGTGCCAGAGCTGGAAGGACCACGGTGGTCATCTGGTTCGACCCTCTTGCTGTGTAGATTGGGAAGCTGGTACTTAGAGAGGGGAAGTGACGTGGCCAAAATCACACAGCAAGTTAGAGAAGAGCTGGGGCTACAGCTCAAGACCCTTCACTCTTGGGCCACTGAACCAAGTAGTCTCTTCCTTAAAGCAAGAGACTTGGGTCAGTTTTGGTTAAGCTGTCCCAGGAGACCCTGCTAACGACATTGCTCTTGCTTTGCTTCTTAAGTGGATGATGACTGGGCTGTGAAGAGGTTCCCAAGGGGAACCAGATGTTCCATTTCAGCAAGTGTGAGCACTGCGGTGTCTGCTGGACAGCAACCCAGCATCCGTGCTGGCAGCTCCGGAGCCTGAAGCAGATGAGAGGGCTTTCCAGAGACAGCTCAAGCCATCCTTCTGAAGCGCTGGCTCAGGACCACATGGCGTTAGTTACCAGCAAAGAGTAGACAGTTGGAAAAGACAGATGTGTTCTTTTACTTATTTATTTTCTAATTTCTCTTCCCCTCAGATAGGGGAGCCATGGCTGGGTTGCACCTAAGGATGTTGTTGTAATTTGACTCCATGATTGCTTTTGCTGCCCAAACCTGGCAATGGGTGGGAAGGCTGGGGGGATGTTCCTCCTCTGTGGCCAGATTCTGTTCTTTGCATTTAAAGCAAGTTATAAAAAATTCAAGAGGCAGTTGTTAGTCTTCAGGGCTTGGCCAGTTAAGCAGCTGTGTGGCAGATGTGGAAAAGAACAGTTTGAGGGTCCTGCTGGAAGACTAAATGGCAACTGGCATTTGCTGAGCACTTACCATAAGCCAGGAGGTGTTCACAGATGTCAGCTCCAGCCTGCACAATGACCCTGTGAGTTAAGTACTTTGTCTCCATTTCATGGATGAAGAAACGGGTTTGGTTGGGGGGGGGGGGGGGGGGGGGGAGAGACTCTTTCCAAGATAGTACAACTAGTCAAATCGGGATTCAGAGCATCCCCAAATGGGACTAATATTTATAGGGAAAAGGAAAGTCACAGATCTCTTTTAAAATAAAGTGGCTTCTTTTTCTTGCATAGACTTAATAGCTCTAGCTGGCCTTTTTGGGGTGGGAAACAGTTCAGTTAGTAATCAAATCTGACAGCCAAGTGAGTTTTAAAAACCAAAGCATCAAGTGTGTGTCTCCCATACCATCTGCTGTGCTAATTAACACGTCTGCTTCAGTCTCTTTCTTTTTTTAAACTAAGGACTCTGCACATGGCCAGACAGGCGGAGAATGTCCGTTTTTCCCTTTCTAGGCCACGTCCAAGTAAGAGAAGGTTCACTTTTTCCCCATCAAGATTCTTGGGTCATGAACCTTGATCTGTTGTTTATTTTCTTTCAGGCACGCCCGCACCCACATATTGGTCCAACAAAATACGCTAACTTGCCAGTCTGGTTAGACAGAGCCCTCTGGCCAGAAGCCTGTTGGTTTGGGACCAGATGAATTTCCTGACGAGCATTTGTTTCTAGTGGCAGAAGGGCTGAGGAGTAAGTCCTAGCTCTTTTTTCCTTGATACCAAGTTCAGGTTCCTTGATACCAAGTTCAGGATCTGTCTCCTTGCTTTCCTTGATGCCTGAGCGTCAGTCATCCTTTGAGCACTTGTGATTCAAGCTTCCAGGGAATTCCGAGCCCCTCCCTTGTTTTCTGCTTCAAAGGAACAATGGCCCACACCTAATTGTGTCTTTAAAACTATTTCAGATTCGTTATCTTCATTGCCTCCCCATTAGTAATTTTCAAAGCATATTTCTGTCTTTCTTTCTCTTTTGTCCCTTCCCCCAACCAACAGTTGGATGGATGAATGTTTTGGCTTGGTGGGTGGATAGAGGGTGGATGGGTAGATAGATAGATGTGTTGTTGTGTGCCGTGGAGTTGGACCCGACTCATATCATAGAAGCAATCTGAAGCAATTTAGGAACTATAACCTTGAGTCCCTGAGGGTATAGACTCTGATCCAGGAAACATTTAACACCTACCAAGTGCCAGAAATATATTACACCATTTAAAACTCAATAATGCTTATCAATATCAGGAATGAAAGAGGTAGCATTACCACAGATCCTACGGAGATTAAAAGGATGGTAACAGAATATTATGAACAACTTTATGGTAGTATATTCAACAACTTAAGTAACATGGACAAACTCCTTGTAAAATACAAACTACCAAAGCTCCCTCAAAAAGAAACAGATAATCTGAATAGCCCTATAGCTATTAAATCTTAGATAGTATTGTCCTCATTTTACAGACAAGAAACCTGAGGCTCAGAGAAGTGAAGTCTTGCTCAAGGTCATGCAGCTAGACTATGGCAGAGCCAGGATTCAAACCCAGACCTGACTCTTCCTCCAGTGCCCTTTCTAGCTTACCACGCTGCCTCTAATGATTGCAGCTCCTTCCTTACTGGAAACTTGTTCTCGCCCAGTCCAGTCTCCCTGACCCCATCCTTTCTTAAGCACTGGTTGTGTTTTCATCGTGATTATATTCATAATTTTTGGAATCTACATTCTTATTTGTATATGGAGAAACATCTCATCCACCAGCTTGTACTCGGACCAACTTGGAAAGAGCTTAAGTGCGGTTGCTGATGTACAGTTTAAAAATGTGAAGTTTGTAGCTTTAACTTTTTGTAAGAGAAACTAATAACACTGGCTTAAATGCTACTTGAAATGCTATTTTGTAAGGTTTGGATGTATATAATCAATCAAGGTCAGCAGTTTGTGTATGTATGAGACATAGCTTCTTCCATTGTCTTTATTATTATTATTATTATTGAGATGCTTCCCGTATGCTATGTTAGAATTGTTGTTCTTCCTCCTTTATTCTTCCTATACCTTGTCATCTTTGGTTTAAATAAACTGCCCATTGGAATACATTCTATCCCCCTTTCCCTTTTTTTCTTTTAAATGAGATGTTCCATATTATCATGGGTAATGGTATTGTCAGCCTTTGTGGCATTGACTCTGTGGTGTTTACTCCAGGACCCAAAGTGGAGGGGCAGAGAGTTATGGGAGGGAGTAAATTTTTTTGAACACCTACTGTGTGGCAGGTACTGAATCAATTGCCAGTGATACAAAGACGAGCCAGACACAGTTCTTACAGACCAGTGCGGGGTCAGTGAAGCACACAAGTCCATCACAACACTGGAACTGTTCCACTAGAAGGAAGAACAGGGCCTGTAGACACACAGAGGAGGGAGTGACAGCCAGTTCTGCTGGGTGTTCAGGGAAGATTTTCTGGAAGAGATCATACATTCCCAAACACAAAAACTGGGCCAGATTTGGCCTGGTGGATGAAGGGTGGGAAATGAGGGGCAAAGGCATCTGGGTAGAGGACCAGCCGGCACAGAGCCTGGTGTGAGAGCCCAGATGGAGGATCACCTTGGAATCCTCCATCCCCATCTGTTGCTGTGTGGAGCCAGGCCAAGCACAGCCCAGCATTCAGAGAAGAGCAGCAGGGTGCTGCTGCTCTTGTGCGGCCCATCCGCTCAGGAAATTGATGCCACAGGAGGGAGGAAGAAGAGTTGTACTGGAAAGTATGTGTAGGTCTCAAGTCAAATGGTCCTACAGGACCTACTAGTTCTGCCTGAATATATCTGCATATATTCTGCCAGCTTTTCTGGGAGCTGTGGTGATGTGTGTGTGTGCTTCTCGTTGCTTCATTTACTCACTGCATGCCCTCAGATACTCTGTGTACTTTCCTGTTACCAGGGTTGATAGCTGTGGTTCCCTTCTGTCAGACACAAAGACTCTGCAGTGGAATAGTATATACCCTTTCTGCAGGTGTATGATTCTATATTATACTATTAAACCTCAGGGTTTTTTGTGAGAATAAAATCATTTGAAAGGCTCTGCATTGTGCCTGGCATGTAAGTACTTAGTAAGTGGGAAATGACTTCTTCCTCCTCTCCCTCCTTCTGGTCATAGGGCCTCTGACCATGATTCCCAGAGGGGCAGTACTGCCCACTAGGAGGTGTTTGGGAGTTTTGTAGGGGTGTTTTTAGCTGTGACAGTGATTGGGCATCTCATGGACAGGGACAGGGATCCCTGATGTGCTGCAGTGCATTCTGGAACAGTCCCACACAATAACTTGTCCTGCATCTTGCACAACATCCGTATGACCCACTGGATATTTATGTCAGGGCAAAACTGGTTTATAAATATCTGATTTTAACCAAACCTCATTTATATCCACACACAGGCACAGGTACAGTACAAGGTTTAACTGTACATGTAGTCTTCCAGTAAGAACAATGTAGAAATGGAGAGACACTCGTAGTTTATTTCTTTGGAGTTTTACTGACAATTGTTCTGT